GTTGTTCATAATATTCCCTCCTTATCCTTTCAGTGAACCTTTTGGCTTTGTTCATGTCCTTTATTGTTTTGTATGCCATGATTTCTGCTTTTATTTCTATTCTTTCTTTCTTTACTTATTTTGAGTTTAATTTACTCCTTATTCTAGTTTCCTAAGGTGGACATGTAGATAATTAATTTTAAACTTTTCTTATATTCAAACATAAGCATTGACAGCTACATCCTTCCCTTTAAGCACTGCTTCCCTGCACCACACAAATGCTGATGTGTTTTATCTTCATTATCGTTTAGTTGGAAATCTTTCCTAATTTCCCTTCTAATTTTTTCCTTAACCCCTAGGTTATTTAGAGATGTATTGCTTCATGTCCAAATTTTGGGGCCTTTCTAGTTACCTTTGTAATTTCTAATTTACTTTTATTGTGGTCAGAAAATTACTCTGGAAGGCTCACTCTTTTGAAATTCACTGAGTCATTATGTGGCCTTGCATATGGTCTATCTGGGTGACTGTACAATGTGGAAGTGAAGCAAGTATTTATTCTTAGTAGTTCTTGTGAATAATGTTCCATAAATGTCAATTAGATGGAGGTGGTAGACCATTGTTCAAATCATCTAGATTCTTTCTAATTTTTGCCTAGTTTTTCTATCAATTATCGCGAGAGGGATGTTAAAATATCCATGTAGGATGTGGATTTGTCTATATTTCCCTTTAGTTTTGTCTTCCTTAGAAATGGACTCTTCATCTTTACGAAATTCCCTATTTATCTTGGTAGTACATGTTTTTAGTATATTTTGTCTGAGAGAATGTAGCTACTCCAGTTTCTTAGGCTTACTGTTTGCACGGTATATCTGTTTTCCTCCTTTTACTTTGAACTCATCTGCTTTTATATTTAGAACGAGTTGATAGTAGACAGCATAGAGGACACTCTTGCTATTTTATCCAGTTTGACAATCTCTGCTTTTTAATTGGAGAGTTTTGTCCATTTGCTTTTCTACGTATAAAATCATTTCATCTACAAGTAGAGGTAGTTTTATTTTTTTCCTGCCCAATCTGGATGCCTTTTATTTCTTCTTCTTGTCTAATTTCTCTGGCTAGAACGTCCAGCACAATGTTGAATAGAAGTGGCGAGAGTGGACATTCTTATCTTGTTCCTGATCTTAGGGGGAGATGCTTTCAGTCTTCATCACCAAGCATGATGTCAGCTGTGGGGTTTTCATAGACACTTTTCATCAGGTTGAGGAAGTTCCTTTCTGTTCCTAGTTTGTTGAGTGTTTTTATCGTAACGGGATGTTGGATTTTGTTAAATGTTTTTTTCTGCATCTGTTGAAATGATCATTTTGGGGTCCATTAATATACATTGTTTTACATTGATTTTTGTATGTTGAACCAACTTTGCATCCCTGGGATAAATCCCACTTGGTTGTAGTATATAATTTTTTAAAATATTTGCTGGATTCAGTTTGATAGCATTTGTTGAGGTTTTTTTCCATCTATATCCATAAGGGATATTGGTCTGTAGCTTTCTATGGTATTTTGTTAATGACAGCCTGTGCTGATAAATACAGCATTTATGGTTTCTCCATGTCTTTTCATGGCTTGATAACATTTATTTTTTAGTGCTAAATAATATTCCATTGTGTGGATGTATCATAGTTTAGTTATCCATTCACCCACCAATGTACATCGCTGCTTCCAAGTTTTCACAATTATGAATGTTTTAACAATTATGCTATAGACTGCAGGACTTTGTGTGGACGTACATTTTTAACTCACTTGGGTAAATACCAAGGAGTACGATTGCTAGATCATATGTTAAGAGTATGTTTAGTTTCGTAAGAAACCACAAACTGCCTTCCAAAGTGGCTGTACCATTTGGGTTCCCGCCATCAGTGAGTGACAGTTCCTATTGCTCCACATCCTCCCCAGCATTTGATATTATTCATGTTTTTCATTTTGGCCATTCTCACAGGTGTGTAGTGGTATCTCATTGTTGTTTGAATTTGCAACTACCCAATGACATGTGATGTTGAGCATTGTTTCATAGCCTTATTTGCTAACTGTATAACTACTTTGGTGAGATGTCTGTTCAGGTCTTTTGCCAGCTTTTTTTTTTTCTTTTTAGCTGAGCCATCCCGTCACCTGTGGGCAGCTCAGCGGCAGATCAGCTCGGGCTGGGAATCAAACCGGCGACCCTGATGTATTTGCCAACTTTTTAATTGGGTTGTTCATATTCTCATTGTTGAGTTTTAAGAGTTCTTTGTATATTTGGAATAACAGTCCTTTATCAGATATATCTTTTGCAAATATTTTCTTCCAATCTATGGCTTGTCTTCTCATTCTCTTGACGACTGTCTTGCATAGGCATTTATCTTGCTTCGTGTTCTCTGAGATTCCTTGATCTGTGGTTTGGTGTCTGACATTAGTTTGGGAAAAAATCTCAGTCATATATTTTTGTTTCATATATTTCTTTTGCTCCTTTCTTTCTTCTCCATCTTGTATCCCCATTATGCTTCTGTTACACTTTTTGTAGTTGTCCCACAATTGTTGGATATTCTGTTCTGTTCTTTTGAGTCTTTTTTTTTTCTTTGCTTTTCAGCTTTGGCAGCTGTTTTTGAGATCTCCCCAAGCTCAGAGACTCTTTCTTCAGCCATGTCCAATCTAATGAGCCATCAAAGACATTCTTACTCTTATTTCTGTTATCGTGTTTTTGATCAGTAGCATTTCTTTTTTATTCTTTCTTAGAACTTCCATCTAAGAAATAACTGGCCCCCATGGAGTTTTTTAACTCTCAGACTTGTGTGCGCTGAGCCTCTAGCAATTTATCAATTACACTCGAGGTTTCCCTCCCTCGGTGCTGTTTCCCGGAGGTGTCGACGCTCTAGAATGTTGTGGGTCTCTATATATTCATCTGTCTGTGGCTTCAGTTTTGGGGGCAGTGGTTTGCTCTGTAACCTCACTTCTCTGACAGAGCTAAGAAGAGTTGCTGCTTTTTCAGTTTGTTCAGCTTTTTGTTTGTTAGCATGATGTGATGACTTCCAAGCTCCTTACATGCTGGACCAGAAACTGGAAGTTTCCTACTTAGTAGTTTTTGAAAACTGGACTTTATGGAGATTCTGACTTCTGTTACGCAAGTATTGCTTCTTCTGTTCTCGCACGCAGTTAATTATTAGCGAACCCCCTTAAACTTGTGGAGGCGTGGTTTTTACACTTTGTTAGAACTGGCTCTTTCAGCTTTGGTCCTTAATCTTAGGTAAATGCCTTAGTCCTGAGACATGGTCTTCACTCCTAGCATATGAACCTTTTGAGATTTCAATGGAAAATATGAAGTGTTTTTCAAGCCTTTCTAACTTAATAGAATTCATATTCTAGACATGCTCTTCCCCGCAGCAGGTAGCACAGAAATGCCTCCTGAGCTATTTCGACTTTTAGCTGTCGGTAGAACCCATCTTCCTGCACAGGCACAGTGCAGGGGTCAGCCAAGGATTTGAAGGGAGTTTATTTGCAGATTTTGAGGCTTCCCTTCTCTGGCTCCCTCCTCCCCAGGATTTCACCCACCCATTTTCATCTCTGGCAGTCCTGAACTCTGTCCCTTGACACCTCAAGTCAAAGAGACCACAGCCTTCTCCTTGGGTCCTGCTGCTATGTGCTGCACAGATTTGGGGGGAGGGTCTTCTCAGGGGAAAACACGTTTAAATGCAGACCCAATCCAGTGTGGCTCTTTGAAGGATCGAATCCCTTTCAGTTTCTGCCTGTGTTGGCTATTTTCTAGTGCCTTCGATTTACTGTGTTTTGAAATAGGTTGACTAGAATGTGTAAGTGTCACTTACAGGAGGGTTAGTTCTGTGCAAGCTACCCTGTTATTCCCTTAGGTGGAAGTCTTTAATTTTTATAAGAGTCAGTCCCAACCTTTGCTTGACTGGTTGATTGCCAAGGCTCGTGTCACCACGCTTTCTTGTGAAGAAGAGCTCAATTCAACCCTAAACTCTTGGCAAAGGCACTAATTCTTACTCTGCTGAACAGCCTGAATCTCCACCACAGGAGGAAAACCCTTACGGAGGGCTTCCCAAAGGCTGTGTGAATTCCCCATCCTGTCACTCAGCAGCTCAGATTCGACTTCTGTCCAGATGGGACCAGAATGAAAGTTGCATCCTCAGGTTGCATGGCTTTGGCCCCTGTAGGTCTGCTTTTATCTGATTGTACTTTGACGTCACACTCTCATCTTGTAGTGAAGGGTGTGATAGGAAGTCATCAGCGGGACCATCTGATCACACAGCTGTATTTTTAATAAGAATGTACGAGGAGCCATTGGAATAAACCCTCTCACGTCTCCGTGCCACACAAGCTCTGCTTTCCCTGAGCAATCAAATTTAAGTTTCCAATGTATTAATTTGGCTGCTGGGAGGCTCAGAGCCAAAGGGTCTTTAGAAACTCCTGTACTTTCGAGGGCTGTCCTCTGCCTTAATTCCTTTTGTTTATATTATATTCACTTGTCAGACACTTTAACTACTTTTTTGTATGGAAAAGGGAAACAACAAAGCCGTCTGAATCATTACCAACTGAGGAGGCTGCCATCACTCTAAATGTTTGTTACTCCTTTGGGGGTGACTGCTTTAATAGTCAGATTCTAATTCATACAAGAATCTCAACTTCAACTCAAAGTGAAATTACTCACCTTGCCTTTCTACCTGATTCACCAAATTGAATAAGTTTGCTATTCAAGAAATCAGTTTCCAAAAAAAGATCAAATACTCCCAAAGGGCAGAGACGAGCGCTATTTGAATGTTCTACTACTGGCTCTGAAGGCAAGTTCAGAATCATTCTGGACAACAGGAGCGTCCTGGAATGAGCACGTAGATGCTTCAGCTACTTTCTTTGATGGGAAGAGCCATCATCTGCATAGTCAAGTCCTGGTGTGTTTGATTCACTTATGATCAGTCGCAGTTCTTTCCAGCACAGGGCCAGAGCTGGGTTTGATGGGGTGTTTGTTGTCACCCTCTCTCTAGGTGGAGCCAAAGCCTGTGATGGGAGTGTGGGTCCTGAGCAGCATCATGAGCCTCCCCTTGTTTTTAATCTAGAAGATGTTGCAGAAGCTGTGCCTCTAGAGAGAGGTAGTGCCGAGTACCAGCGCGTGCTGCCCAAGGTCAGAGAGGCTCTGGCGGACATCCTTCAAGACGTGGCTCACGACAACATCTCCAGAGCGGACTACACGCAGGACCCCTCAGTAACTCCCTGCTGTAATCCCCACCAAATTGCCTGCCGCTGCCACATCACCTCCCAGACCGACGTGTCCACAAGCAGACACATCAGGAAATGAGATGGGGCAAGTTCACACCCCAGCTTCAGTCTTACCCTCTTCAGTTATGTCTGCTTTACAAATAAGTCTCAGAAGTTTGTTTTGAAGCTGCCACCTTGCGTCCCCCTCTGTCCGTTCCTTCGGCATGCTGGCTGGAGAGGACAGCTGTGGTGAGCCTTATGGGAAGTGCACAGGCTTCAGAGTCAGATCAGGTTCAAGCCCCAGCTTTTGAACTTGGGCCATTATATATAACCTGACTTGCAAGCTTATGTGAGGATTCAGTAAGACAGGACATGAAAGTGCCTGGCACGTTCCCTGACACTTGAGGCAGGCACTCAGTCCATTTTAGGTTTTTTTGTTTGGTTTTAATGCTCCCAGTTTCACTGGTCATTTTAGCAGAGATTCATTCCAGCTGGTATCTAAAGCAGGGCTCCTCCATCTTTAATACGCACACAGATCGCCTGGGATCTTGTGAAAATGCAGGTTGTGGCTTGATAGGTCTGGGCTGGGGCTGAGATCATCCATTTCTGGGACACTCCTGGGGTTGCCTTGAGTAGCATGGATACAGACTAGACAAAGTCAGATGTTTGAGGTCTCCAGGCAGAAGAGCCCGCACGTTAAGTCATGGCCTGACCCACCTCCCCCAACCTCCTTTTAAAGGTCAAACGGCTGTCTTTTAAAGAGTTTAGGCATTCTTTCTGCTTCCTAAAACCATGAAGCAAGACATTTTTAGAGCCTCAAAAATGCATTGCCATCATTTTATTATTAGTGTCCTAAACGGGACTCAAAGGTAATAAATGATTTATTCTAATCACTGCAACAATACTTTGGCTAAAATAGTCTCTCTCTAGATGAAGTATACAAGAAATACAATTAGAAGACATTTCCCTATAAGTACATTTTTACACAGCATACATTTGAAAAGGATGCCCTTTTTAATATAAAAGTCCGGTTATAGACCAATATGGTTAGTTCGTGTCGACACTATGGCTGTAATATATTTTAAATAGCGGGATGTGTGCACAGCGTCCCCCACACCCTCCGGCAGCCAGGGCTGAGCGGGGCTTGGGGAGCAGTGAACCATGTCCTGTGGCTTAAGCAGGAGGCACCTGGGAGTCCAGCCCCCCATGCGGTGCCCACAACCGCACTCCGTTCTTCCACCTTCCTTGTTTCTCCAGAACCACCTGACAGGGGGTGTCCTGATTTCTGAGGTGCGCGGCTCATCATGACTGCTTCGTTTTGCCCTTCTGACTTCCACGGCACAACATTATCTACCGAAATCAAAACAGAATGGCCTTACTCTCTCCAGGAAGAGGCTGCCAGGCAGGCTGCGTGATCGACAGATCTGTGCCCACGCGGGGTTGGCGGGGGCGGGCTGGGCACACATGGCCACAGACATTCACCCCCCTGCGTAGGTGTGGGTGAGGATGGCACAGTTTCAGAAGACACTGACTGTAGATAAAATAGGTATATGTGTAGTTTTTCAAAAGGCTCATCTTGTAAACACAGGCTGCTAAATCCCTATTAAAAAGTCAGGAAATACTCTTGGTCCCAGTCCCCTTACTCTTGCTCACGGGAGTAAGACTAGTGTTAGAAAACATGCAGCCTTATAAAGGTTGGCTCGTTACTGCAACAAAAGCTGCCCACCCTGCTGAACGCTGCATCTTTCTACGGTACCAGAAAGGATCAATTCTCTTTTCTTTCGTTGTTCTTGGAGCAAAGTAAATCCCAAGGAGAGAAGAGGGATCCTCTCCAGGGAAGTGTCAGTATATGTATTTTTAAAAGACTGCTGGTGATGACCCCGGGAGCTCCTCGTGAGGTTATCCAGGCAAGCCTGCGTCCATGTCTACAGCAGTGATTTGAACCAAGCTGAGACGCCTGGATCCTTTCACAATCCTGGAAGTTTTGAACGAATGTGGGTAGAGATGTGAATCTGGACAGATATTTCTAATAGGCATAGAAGAGTAAAGGCAGAGGGAGGGAGGTGTCTGGCGTCTCCTGTTGAATATTATTGCCTGTGAGGGTGTGACTGAGATGGTCCATGTTGAGAGAACATCCCAAAAGCACTCACGCCTCTGGTCCTCGTGTGGAGAGATGGAGAAACTGGCCTGCTACTGTGTCAGTATCTCGTAGGAGCACGGCCTCGCCTCATGGTCTACTTGCAGGCTTGGGGGCAGGGCTGGGGTCTGATGGCCTCTGTGACACCTGTCACCGGCTCTGCACACAGCCTGCCCGATACTTGCTAGGGTCTAACAACCGTCCTAAGGAAACTCGGTCGGTGATCGACTCTCACTGGTAGGAAGCCTTCCTCATATATAAATAAAAATCCCTGATGTAATTTAAACGAACTTTCACTCATTTCCTCCTTAAAGACAGAGGCAGGAGAACTGGCTTTCTGGCAGTGTATAGGCAAACAGGCCTTGTGATAAGTTTAGCACTAGTTCTTAAGCACTGCTCCCCCCCCCCCACCTTTTTTTAACTCCAAACAAATGTCATTTATACAGGTCTTCTTTGGCAAGGGACCACCTCCTGAATGCCAATACCTGAAGTATCCAGACTCTGCAAATATGAGGTTGTAAGGTCTATGCTGATCACAGTTAAGTAAGAATCTAATTATCTTTTAGAGCAGCCACAGACTTTTCCCAAAATGATGGAAATGGAACCCAATGAGTGTTTGCTCTAAACCTTGACAGACCAGGAAAAGTCACTTTTATCCCCCAGCTGCATCTGACTTGCTCTGGTTCCTGGAAGGTGCAACTTCAGGTGAGTGATCACCAGCATTTTGGGGACAGAAAAACTCCCCTCACGGTCAGCTGGGTCATGACAGCCCACGGGCAAAATGACTGGTTTATCAGGAAGCAGCAAGCCAGCAGGTGTTTTCAAATTTCTAGTTAGTATTTTTAAGGACCACTACTTTCCACCCCTAAAACAGAAACTGGACTTCCTGGCAATGGCCTTGGCAGTGTGCCCACTAAAAGCCAGCATGTAGGAGAAGCTCAAGTTCACAGAGCCTTTATGGGAACAGACAGCCCCCGGTCAGGCACAGGGGGCAGCAACACCCAATAGTTTTTTTTTTTTTTTTTGGCTGACTGTGCTTACTAGATTGTCCTGTGCATGTATGCAAGAAAGAAGCTAGAACTGCACTCCATCCTTTTGCAAATGAAATCTCAACTGCCACAAAAGAATGATCAGGAGAAAACGTTACCCACCAAGATCTAGTGGGCACTGAAGCAATGCCCGGATGGCCGCTGTCTCTGCCTCTAGGAGGGTCACTCATTGGACTCTCCAAACCTCGGCCCAAACACCGCTTCCTTCTCTAGATGCTTTCAGGGTGACTATCTGGGCTGTTCTCTAAGTGACGCTCACAAGAGGGGTCTATATGTTGGAATATAGAATGGAAGCTTGAAGGATCAGAAGCTGAGGCGGCACTGGCAGTCACCCAGGGAACGGGGATGCTGGAAGAAGCCAAGCCTAGCGCCCAGCCAACCCTGGGGCCCTTGCTGCCAGAGCGGGGTGCTGGGAAGCCCAGCTGGGGGCGCCCGGGGGCTCTCTCCAGGCCTGCCCATGCTGCGGGGGCTGGGCCTGCCCGGTCAGCATTCCAAGTATGAGGGTCCAGCTCCCCGCTGCGCACAGCAGCCTAGCCCTGTTAGAGCATCACCTTCAGCCCAAGGACAGCAGCGCTCTGCAAAAGCAGCTTCAGGAGCCTCATGGGAATACGAGTTGACACAGGCCAAAGGGCCTTGCCTTGGGAGCAGCGAAGATAGTGCTCCAGAAGCAAAGTCAGGAATTCGGGGCCCCGGAAGGTAATGAGGCTGCCTGGACTCCCTGGGTTATTGCCCGGTTATGCTAATGTGTCGAGGTGGCGGGACACCTAATGGCTAGTCTGTACACATTAACATTCTGTGGCTTTCTGAATATTAGAGGAGGGTTAGTTATTCTAGGCTAGGGAACAGGTACGAGGCGAAGGCTTCCTTCTAAGCATACAGAGCGAGCCACTCTCTTAAGGATTCCTAATGCTCACAGGGGGGAATTCATTCTCATCATCAAGACACACTGGTCCAGCCGCAAACTCGTGTTCAGGAATAACCTCTCCTCGGAGCGCCCCGCCGTCCTCAGAATAACCTGGAAAGCAAGAAGGAGGCATGAGAAGCCACACGGTCTGTTCTTGTGCCAGGACTCTGGGGCAGGACCTCAGATGAGTCCACATCCCCGCCTTCCCCGCAGGCTCCTAAAACATTCCACCTGTTTGCAAATTCTCACAGAGGCAAACCGTTCACACTACCTGTGAGGGAACCAAGCACGTGGTGCTGTGCCTGCCAGGTTTAGGGACCCGCATTCAGAGGCCATTCCCATGGCCTCACCATGGAGAAAATAAATGGTTCGGGGAGAGTGCTCCACCCACAGGTAACAGTGAAGGGACCAGAGGGTCGCTGTTCGACACGCCCCCCACATCCGCTCACCTGGCACCGTGGAGGCGGAAGATGTGCTGGGTCTGGCTACAGTTGCTGCATAAGACTGAGGTAATGAAGGTCTGAGGTCATTTTCTTTATTCTCTTCTGTTCCTGAGCCAAGCAACCTAATTGCAGCAATTAAAAGGGGAAAGAAAAAGAGATCATCACATATCCAGGACACCTCCGAAAGGAAAAGCGCTAGGAAGCTCAGGCTTGGCCACGTGAGTGTATAGACCTATCAGCACCCTGCTGGGTCAGTGTGAACTGACGCAACCTGAAATCGCCAGGGTCAATTACACAACTTCACAGCGACCCCTTTCTCTTCCATGTACTACACGGAGATCGGCCCTTTGCGCTGCCTGGTAAGGACTCAAGAGACATGCTAGCAGGGGATGCCCCGCGGGTGAGGGGGCAGTGGCAGCTCGTGGTGTCCACAGCAGGAAGTCATCCTGCACTTGGTCACGAAGTGGAGAGAACTTTTTGTTCAACTAAGTAAATATTTTTGAGCATGCATTATGTCCGAGGAAGAAAGGCGAAGCAGGAAGACATTCCATTTTGCGTTTTATTCATCCTGGCACTTGCCCAGGAGTGTACAGCGTGGCGAGGGCACCCAACACCGAGCCCAGTGTGAAGCAGGTACCCGCCAGAGGTCTGCCACCAAGATTGCGGGTAAAGAACAAAGAAAAAGCAAGAGCACTGAAGCTTGTCATCATTGTTCTTGGCCAAGTGACAACTCTCCAAGCCGGCTCTTGAAAGGCTGTCATTTTGAAAACTATATCTTTACCTGTGGGTTTTGATTAAGACACACTCTCCTCCATCCTGAGGGTCCAAATTGTAGATATAAAGGTGTCCATCGGATGATGCAACTAAGAGCCTTGGCAACTTCTGGATCCTAAGAGCCAAGCGAAACATGTGCTGTGATTACAACAGTTTCTCATGACAAAACCCCATGCACTCTGGCTGTCACCAACTCCTACTGCCATCAAAAAGCCCCCAGCCCACCGACCCTAGATTATGGGTTTCTGGCTAGTCCCTTGCGTTCTGACCTAGTGATCCACCCAGAGGATTAATTCTTGTCTTTGAAAATAATTGTGTGGAAGAGACAAAATGATGTGTGCACACACTATTACTCCATGAAAACCGGTCGCCAACAAAACATAGCTTACCTGAATGGGATGCCAGCTCTATCTTATGTGTCTCTGCCTTTAACATGAGAAAAAGGGGAAATTGGCACACCATCTTTGCTGGCTAGTTTTATGAATTTTTTAAAGTGTTTATCTCCTTTAAACTCCTTAGATAAAACGTCTGTCTATCCCCTAGGTGTCGGAACCTAGACAATGGAATTAGAGCCTCTTTATATGATTATGCAAAAACAGGAATCGTTTTCAGGACAGTGTTATAACCCAAAGGTGAAAATTCCCATGCCAGCTTCCAGCTCCTCCCGGAGGAGACATATTACAGACAGGAAAGGCAGCAGACGGGAGCCTGCAGGGTTTTGATGTTGTCCGTCCTTCCTCTTGGCCACCTTCTCTTTCTTTGTTCCTTTGCACGTGTTTGTGGGGGTGGGGTTGCGCTTTGGGGAAAATAAGTGTGTGATAGCAGTGAGAGTGGGTGGCACCATACGTACGTTGAGAGGGTGCAGATGTTCCTCTGTCCAGAGAAATTCAGACGCCCGGTGGCGAAGGCCCTGTCCTGATTCATCATGTCTGACACCTGGGCGGGGAGGTAGTTGGAAGCGGCCATGAACATCTTTCCCACGTAGCCACTCCAGGTCGAAGGCTCTTCTGGCCGACTGGGGGAGCAAGGTACGGGCCAGGATGAGACCGAGCTGCAGGGGCCGCGCCGTAGCTAATGTTCTGCCCACCCAGAGTGACTCGGGACAGAGTATCCTGGCCATGCCCAGAGGACAGCAAGGGCTTGTTTGTCCTGCAGCCGAGCCATGGCAAGGCTCTTAAGAGGTTCCCAATGTTACCGCTTTCCTACATTAAGGAAGTTATACCTGACGATTAGCCTGATTTCTAACAGGGGGCCGGGCTAGAGAATGAGATGGAGTTGATATCTGGACTCTGAAGTAAGCCCGAGCCTGTCCTGCGTTCAGGGAAGAACAGACTGATCTCAGCGTGCAGGCCTCCAAACCAGACCGAGTGGGAAGCAAACCTCCAGGCAAGACGCCTGGGAGGTGTCTGGTTACACCCTGAGCACCCAGGTACCCCGCGATTCTCCCACGATTCAGAGGGACTGGGTATGCCCCCTGCAGTCACCCAGCTTCATCCCAAGGCCTCCGCCAAACAGAGCGGGGCCGGCTCCATTGGTGGGAGATGTGAGGATGGACGGGGCACACCCCCGCTCCGGTCTGCATGGGGTGGCACATCGAGGCCAGTGTGGCCACACGCTCCCAGGGGCACCTGCTGAGAAGCCCCTTATCTGCAGGACCCAATCTGGCATGGAACACACCACAGCTCAGAAGCTCTGGAAGTTTATTTCTCACTCTGTCACCAACTGGCTGGATGGTTTTGGGACACACCTCTGGGCCTCCATGTTCTCATGTGAAAGTGACGGGCCCTCCTGGGCGTGCTGCTGCCGTCCCATGCTCGCACGCACCAGGAAGCATGCCTGCTGCTGTTCCTAGGGCTACTGCTAAGGGTGGGGGCTTACAAAGAGGTATAATACCCAGGTCCTGCGTTCAAGGTGGAGACATAGCCCAGCAACATATAAAAAGAGAAAACATGAGCCGTTCATGACTGCTGCCACGTAAAGGGTGCAGACAGTAGCTGCTCCAGGACCACGGAGAAGGGCGAGGCGGATAAAAGCGCCATCACCTCTCAGCTCCCACCTTCCGTATTTGGAAAACGGGGACAATTACGGTCACCCAGCTGTGACAGATAAGGAGGCAACACACCCAGCGCTGGGCACATGGCGAGTACTGTTTTATAAGATGGCGTCTCTGAGGCTGGCGTGAATGAAGAGGCTGCGGGGGGGGGGGCCTGGGGGCTGTGCTCTGAAGTCAGGTCTGACTCAGAGCTCAGCAGGGCGGGGGGGGGGGGCACTTCAGATGTGGACGCAGAGAAATGCATCCAGGAGTCACAGCCAAGATGGAAGAGGCAAGAAGACTGCAGCAGCAGATAAGGGGGACCAAGACAGGCCTTGAACGCCAGGCTGGAGAAGCTGGGACTCTGTCCCCAAGGACAAAGGGGACAAAGGGGCCTGAGGAGGGTGTCATGTTCAAAGGAGCATTTTCAGAAGATGAGGCCATTAAGAAGATATCAGATAGGCTGGGAAGAAGAGACTAGAAGGGCTGAGACGAAAGGAAAGGCATGAAGTGGACCAGACGAGAGATGTTAGAGGCAGTGGCCAGAAGGGGGCTGAGGAGGCACATGTGAGCCGTTCCGCACAGGATGTGTTAGCGCTTCATGGACGGCTGAGGGGGAGTCAGGCAACTCGAAGGTCCTGTTCCTGGTTATCTGAGATCACTGACAGAACCTGGAGAAGGACATGAGTTCAAATGGCCACTGCCTGTCTTAAGCACCAGTGACCTCAGATGAAGACATGACTGAAGCAGCGGTTGGGGGTCACTCGGTCACAGGCCCTCAGGATTTTGAGGGGGTATCTTAATCAGTTCCAGGGCTCTAACCTGCTACCACAGATGATGAATTAAACCTCCAGAAGAGATCAGGGCTTAAGTTTTAGAAGCTGTTCGAGAAGTGACAGGAAATTCTAGAACGCAGATGGAATCTTCACGAAAAACGAACAGAGTAAGAACTGCAGGGCGAACCATGGGCTTTGAGGTACACATAAGCGGGTGGACTTTCGCAGGCTCCAAGAAGCCTGAGGCAAGAAGGGAGCAGCCCCTGGCGTTTCAAATGCCAGTGGGGGACAAGGTTTTCAGAGGAGGGGTGTTACCCCAGCCTGTAGAGTGAAGTTAGATGCAGGACTGAAATATCCACGGCACAGTTACGTGGTTGGTGGCGCCCTTGGATGGAGTCACATGGACACATACGTACATAACAGAGGCCCGGCACTGTATCATACCAAGTAGGGGGAAAAACACTTTTTTTTTTTCATTTAAGTTCTACCATATTATGAGAAGAATTTCTTTCAGTCACAGAAGATGGGACTCTGTTGGTACAATTGTGAAACCCAGCACAGGACTCTGTACTTGGGATATTTATTCAAGACGTCTCGGGGAGTTTTCAGTCTGGAGCAGCTCTAGAAGCCTGGCAGGGGTGTAAAAGGGGCATTTATCTGTGAACCCTGGATTTGGAGACAGAGGCCAGCTTTGAGCAAGACACTTAACTTCTCTGAACCTGTTTCCTCAGTTAGGAAACCCCGACCCTGCCTGCCTTCCAGGAATATTGTGGGGACCAAGGGAGCAAGTGTAGGAGAATGCTTTATAAACTATGAAGTGCTCCCTTGATGTACAAGTGTGCTCATCACTGACTCTGCACCCTGCTGAGTGTACTTGAGCTAATCGCTAAACCTTTACGTTTCAATTTCCTATAATGACAATGAAGAGGAGTGTCAGGAGACATGAGGTGTTTGAAGTCCCCTGAGCCATCTCTTGTGCTCAAGAAATGGGACCCTGACCTTGGGAGGAGGGCTGGGTAAGGTGATACTGCTGTGATTGGTGGCTGGGTAGGAGGAGAATTTGTCACAGTTGTACTGCTTTTCAGTGTAAAACGTCTCCAGGGTGGACATGGGCACACAGGTAGCAGGTACTCAGCACAGTAAACATGCTCACACATGACAGCATGCAGAATTTCTAGCAGTGGCCCCAAGATGCCATGTCCTGGTCCTTGGAACATGTGACAGTGATGAGATAGCAGTGACTGTGTTGCCACATGGCCCAGATGACAGTAGGTAGGGAGGTTATCCAGGCGGGCTTGCTCTAATCACATGAGCCCTTAAAAGCAGAGAGCTTTCTCCGACAGCTGACAGAAAAGGCAGAAGGGACAGTCAGAAACATCCAAAGCCCGAGAAGGAATTAATGTGATGTTGCTGGTGGGAAGGCTATGTGAGAAGAGATTCGGGTGGCCTCGGAGCTGAGAGCCAGCGAGGAAGCGGGGACCTCTCTGCTACAACCGCAGGGACCTGGATTCTTGCCCGTGACAGGAATGAGTTTGGAGGAGGACTCTGAGCTCCAGATGGGAAGGCAGCCAGCTGATGCTGGGATTTCTGCCGTGTGAGACCCTGAGCGGAGAACTCAGCTAATCCGAACCACTGACGTATGAAACTGTGAGATAATGCATGTTGTCTGTGTGAAGCTATTACGTGTGTGGTAATTTGTTACAGCAGCAATGGAACACTCATACACACACACACACACACACACACACACACACACACAACAACAACAAACAGCACTGGTTGCAATCTAACACATGCTTTATACCACCAATCCTCACCTCCCTCCTGCTACAGTTAAACTCATGGGCACTGAAAGTGTTAGCCAAGCACTCAGGGGTGGGGTGACAGCAATGATGTTTACTACTATATTTACAGCTACACTAACTCATATTTAGTGTTTACCATGTGCCAGGCATTACACTAAATGGTTTAGGTCAAGGAACTCATGTAATCCTCACAGCAAACCTAAGACGATTATTTTATACCCGAGTACAGAAAGATTAAATTACCTGCCCGTGGTTGGGTGGCCCCAGACTTGGTATTTCCACGCATCACATGACCAAGGCTTTGTTACATACGCTCACCACTTTGGTGAAGACATAACCAGCAAAGCCGAGGTTCTAGCCCCCAAATGGAGAAATCGCTTATGTTGGCGGCGATCACTACTGCAGAATAGCCAGGGCCTGGCTCCTTAAGTCTAACGAGTGTTTCGCATGTGGCGCCGTACTGACCTGTGGCTGAGGTGTTCCAGCTTGAAGATGTGCACTGTCTCGGTGTTGCTGGAGGCACACAGGAACTGGGAGTCCGTGCTGAAAACTAGGGAGCTGATTGTTACATACCTGGAAAACAGCGATGGACAGACTCGTGAGCCGGAAAAAATGAGTTCAAACATCAGTTTTACAAGAAGACTATAATGCATCCTGAAGAGTCTAGGTAGTCTCACATCCTTTCAACCGTGTGCCATTCATATTTAGACATTAATGTTGAAAAGATTCATAAATGGACTCGGGAAGAAGAAACAAAGGCATTGCTCCTGCCCGTTGTCTTGGGAATTTTCCAGCTGCTCTGAGCGCTGGTCCAGCTGCAAATCCTACAGCCAGTAGGGTCCCAGACCATCACACTTCTTTTATGTCCATGGAAGGGAACCAGAAATCACTTTTGGATGGTGACTCCCTTGCTCTCTCATTTCTCCTTTGCTGGCCACCCACCCACCTATTTAGAAAGGACTCTCGTTGTTGAACTCCCGTGTTAACACGGTGTCTACACTCTCAGGTGGACTAAGTACTGAGCGGGCCGCTAAGTCAGTTACCTGAGAAAGTACAGTTCTACCTCCTCCGGGGCACAGAGCCGCCCTGCGGCCTCTCCCTAGGTGGCTGCCAGCCGTCCACTGCAGAACCTCTGTGGGTACTTTAAAATGGGTTTTACAGGGAACACAGACCTTTTCATTCCTCTCCGAAACTCATAGAGCTTTTGCCCTTCAGGTACAGAGAACACCCGGATGACTGTGCCCTGGAAAAGAAAGCAGGTGGACATTTCGTACCGTTAGTGGCTGCACATGCGCATGTCCCTTTAGAGAGGAGCTTGTTTTCTTGGTTTTGAACATCTGTCTCTGAAGAGGAAGCACGAAGTGTTGAGCATAGAGGCTGTTTTGTTTGCACATGCGCCATAGAAGCATTTCTCAGAATGAGTCTTGTCTTCCTTGTCCCTCCCGCCCTAGCCCAAGGCTATGTGTGTGCTCACTCAAACCGCTCTGGCTTCCTAGAGCAGTCATCCTCTGCCTGCCAAAATAGACCTGTTTTTCATGGCATTTGAAAGTCAACTTGATCACATTCCCTGATTAGTCAGAAGAGATCAATCTCACTTGCTAATAGGAAAGCATTTTGTTTACACTATGTTTATGAAAGGCGGCATCTATCTGTATCTATGACGATGCGCACACACATTGCTTCATAAGACTGCAAGCTTTTGTGCAAAGTGTCTTGTATAATATCTTGCATAGCCCAGGCCTTTGGTCTGTTGAATTAACAGTGCATCAATCTACCACAACATGGGGTGGGGGGCAGAAATTGTCCCTCTGAAATGAATTCTGAGCTGGCCCAGAGACCAGTCAGTCCTGTGTCACCAGACTGTTTCCCTCAGATCTTCGGCACCGCGGGAGCCATCCAGCCAGCCCAGGGCAGGAGGAGAGCCCATGAGGACACAGAGCACTCACTTTTTCAGAAGCGCTCGCTAGTTTGGAGCCCGAGGCATTGAAGGTGATGGCAGCCAGTGTCCCCTCATGGGCAGCAATAGTGCAGACTGATTTCTGTTAGTGAAAAGGAAAAGTAGATATTGACGCCGGGGAAGAGGGACGATGGGTTTTCTCTCCGTCTCCTTCCTCTTTTCTTCCAAGACACTCGCCCTCATTTGCCAGGTTCCTCTCTCTCTCTCCAGGATTTCCAGCAGACCCTTTGCATATAAGCTGTGCATCGTTTTCCGGTGTATCTAGATTCTGCTTCAAGGGCCCACTCCATTTCTATCCCTTTTCTTGCCCTTGGAGAGATGCACAACCAACTGTGTGCCCAGTGAGGAGTGATACCATTGTCACGGGCCCTCCTTGTGTGCATCTTTGGGGGGCTTCCTGCAGTCATCCTGCCCCGCTCTGTGAAACAGCTGCATGCTGTCACAGCCAGTGACACCTTCAACCCCACAGCGAGCCACCAGCTGGCAAGCGGTTTCCAGGACGCTGCAGATGTCTGCCCTGGCCTGGCACGCTGCCTCCTGGCTGTGTTGACATGAGGGCAAATATCATTATATACTCCTCCACACCCGGCCACTGTGGGCAGAACAAAGTCCCCCAGTGTTGCTTCTGCACCTCACCCCACTGCCTGCATATCACCTGCCACCTACCGCAGAGCCCAGCAGGGGGGCTGGGTCAGCCAGGGTCACTGTCAACTTACCAGGGAGTGTCCTTCGTAAAGCACAATTTCCCCTGTAGTCAGGCTTCCAGGATAGGCCACGTAAGAATTGGAATGGTTGATAGAGAGGGCACACAGACCTGGCAGAGAATAAACAGCAAATGAAAATCCAGTGTCCAGGGAGACAGCGTGCCTGGAAAGGGCCCCTGGAAACAGTGCAACTACAGCGCCACCTTCTGGTGAGGGGAGGAATGGCTTTGCAGACATTTGCTTTCAGTTTAGTCTTCTAGCCAAAGGACTCCAATAAAGTAAATTCACAGGGGAAGACGTCCTCATTTGACAGTGGCCATGTCCTCTCCCCAGCTAAGCAACCAGAGCTTAGAACATTGAAAATGCTCTTCTCTGCATTTGAACCCAAGGCTCTGAAACCACATGGACTTTTCCGATTGCATTAGCCTCTAGGCCTGCGGTTCTCAACCTTCCTAATGCCGCGACCCCTTAATACAGTTCCTCATGTTGTGGTGAACCCCAACCATAAAATTATTTTCGTTGCTACTCTGTAACTGTAATTTTGCTACTGTTATGAATCGTAATGTAAATATCTTTTTGTTTTCTGATGGTCTTAGGCGACCCCTGTGAAAGGGTCGTTCGACCCCCAAAGGGGTCGCAACCCACAGGTTGAGAACCGCTGCTCGAGGCCTACAAGAGAATTTACTTGTGACTGAAAGGAGTCTTCTTCCTGTGAAAGGGCAGTGTGTGCCAGCCTTTCTGCAAGCGAATCAATACAGTTGGCCAATCATTTCAAGTTGGAGGATGGGAAGTGGTAAGGGAAGGGGCCAGTTGAGAAATGGCTCCTTTCTGAGCTGAGTGCCCTGCCGTGATGAAGGAACGTCCAGAGGCGGAAGTTCATTTGAGGGCGTCAAGTTAAGACGGCGTGCCTGCCATTGAAACAAACTAGAAAAAGAGGACATTTTGGATTTAAGGTGCTTCGACAATATTCTGGAAGAATAAACAGGCAATCAAACCACTGAGCCAACATAAGCAATTTTTATTTGCAAGGAGGTGCCAAGGGCAGGGGGAGAACCCTAATAGCATTGAAGTAAAGGATTTGCACAGAAATGGTTTAGATTAATAGAGGTGTCCATGAAAGAAGTGAGTTCAAGGAATTACCAGAACCAAAAGCATTACCAGAATAGGAACTTCGAGATTAGGCAAGAGTGACATCTTTTTAAGTAAAAAAAGGTGACCTCTTTGTTACAAATTAGCATGTTCAATGGGTTTCTTATAAAGGTATAAGAAAAACTTCAGATCAGCCATTTAAATTGTACACTACCTCATCTGCGGGGAAGAGCAGAGAAGAAAAAGAAATCAAACGTTGAGCATTGGTATCAAGGTCCCACTTCCTGTGCTGGCTTTGCCGAGGACACAGCCAGGGCTGTGCTCTTATCACTTGCCACACGGAACTATGGGAAGAAAGTGACTGACTGGTGCCCGCACCTGCGTGCTCCAGCACCCTGCAACGCTCTTGCGTGCACAAGGTCACCCTTGGTCCTGGCCTTAGAAGAGACCACTCATCCCTTCCCCCAGTTTAGTTCTGGGAATTCCCCATCTCATCTGGGTTCTTTGCAATCCACGTGGCAGTTTCAAGAACAGCTAGACAGACAGGCATTCTGGTCTTGTGAAACTGGGGAGGGTAGACAGTGGGGAGATCAGGTTGGCTTGCGTGGGGGGTTCCCATAGGGGTGGTTAGCAGAAAAGAGGTTAAGATTGAATGTTGCAACTGTAGAAGGACTTGAGTACCAAACCGGAGAGTTAAGATCTTATAAATGCGGCGGGTAAGTGCTGAAGGTTTCTGAGCACATATGTTTAAAAAAAGCAGAGTTAATCAAAACCACAGAGATACCACTTCACACCCACTAGGATGGCTATTATCAAAAAGACAGATAATTAGAACCCTCATACGTTGCTGCTGAGAATGTAACACAGGGCAGTGCTTTGGAAAACAGCTTGGCTGCTCCTCAAAAGGAGTTATCATCTAATCCAAAAATTCCACTCAATATACCCAAGAGAAATGAAAACATATAGCCACATAAACACTTGTATATAAATAGTCATAGCAACATTATTCGTAAGAGTGAAATACTAGAAACAACCCAGATATCTAGCAATTGATGAATGGATAAATAAAATGTGGGATATCCTTACAGTGGCATATTATGAGACAATGAAGAGAAATGAAGTATTGATACATGCTACAATATGGATGAACCTTGAAAATACACTAAATGAAAGAAGCCCATCACCAAAGATGACTTATTGTATGATTCCACTAATATGAAATGCCCAGAATAGATAAATCTATAGACAGAAAGTAGGTCAGGGTTGCCTAAGGTTGGGGGCACAAGAGGTGATGGCTATGAGGTATGGGGTTTTTTGGGGGGAAGGGTGATGGAATGTCCTAAAATTGATTGTGGTGATGGTTACACAACTCTGAATATACTAAAAGCTATTGAGTTGTGCACTTTAAATGGGTGAATCGTACAGCATGTGAATTATATCTCTGTAAAGCTGTTAGGGGAAAAAAAGGCCACGTTTTAAGGATATCTATTTGTCTCTGGCAGAGGCAGGCTGAGGACAAGGGTTCAAGACCCAGGCCTGTACAACTCTGGCTGAGTTATTTGTGGCCTCTCCAGGCCTCTTTCCTGTCTGTGAAATGAGGGGCTCTGGTGATGTACGGTTCTTTCATCTTTAACATTCCAAGATGTTAAATCTTTGCTTACCTCCTCTACTTGAAAATATTGGCAGGGCCCATCTTTGTTGCAGGCAATGCTAGGAGGTCTTGGAGCAGAAGGCTTGGACAAATACTTCCACTGCCCTTCAGAATTTTTTTTTGAGGTATCATTGACATATGACATGTTAGTTTCATATGTACAACATAATGATTCAATATTTGTATATGTGGCAAAATGAATATTACAATATGTCCAGTGATCCATCACCATGCATAGTTACCATTTTTTTCTTATGATCAGAACTTTTAAGATCTAATCTCTTAGCAACTTACAAATATGCAGTACAGTATTATTAACTATAGTCACCATGCTGTACATTACATTCACATGATGTATTTATTTTATAACTGGAAGCTTGTACCTTTTGATCCCTTTCACCCATTTTGTGCATCGCCCCACCCCGCCCAATTCCCCACCTCTGGCACCACCAATCTGTTCTTAATATCTATGAGCTCATTTTTAAGAAAATTCCACATATAAGTGAGATCGCATGGTATTTGTGATATTTGTCCTCTGACTTATTTCATTTAACATAATGCTCTCAAGGTCCATCCATATTGTCGCAAATGGCAAGATTTCCTTCTTTTTTACGGCTGAATAATAGTCCATTGTACACACGTATCACCTTTTCTTTATCCATTCATCCATTGTTGGACACTTAGGTTGATTCCCTGTCTTGGCTGTTGTACTCGTAAATAATGCTGCAATGAACATGAGGATGCAGCTATCTCTTTGGGAGGGTGATTTCGTTTTCTTTGGATATCTACCCAGAAGTGGAATTGCTGGATCATATGGTATTTGTATTGTTAGGTTATTTTAGGAACCTCCATCCTCTTTTCCATACTGGCTGCACCACTTCACATTCCCACCAACAGTGCATGAGGGTTCCCTTTTCTCCACATCCTCACCAGCACTTGTTATGTCTTGTCTTTTTGTTGATAGAAATTCTAACAGGTATGCGGTGCCCTTCAGAGTTTTATGTTAAAATGTAAGTATCCCAGACAGGAAGAAAGACCTCAACTTCTTCAGTGAACAGGGAGCATTCTGTAACACCTAATGGAGAATGAGATGACCCTAGATTCTAACAAGAAAGGGACAAAGGATAATGTCTGGGGCAGGTTTTCTGACACATAACCACTTACTTGACACCCTTCCCCTCTGGGCTTACACCTCTGCCAGCCCATCTGAATTTAGCCAAGGGATCCTGCACACCGACACTCGCAGTCTTAATGAAGGTCCCCAGAAATGCTTAACGCAAGTTTCTTCGATTTCTTAGGGTCCAGTTCTCAGACACATCCAACCAGCTATAAGAATGTCTCTTTATTTCTTGTGAAGTCCCCCCCGCCCCCCAGGAAAGCATGAAGAGTTTGCTTCAGGAGTAGATATTACCATCCTGTTTCTGTCACGGGTGTCACACAAAGCCTTTTTTAGGAAAAAATGAGCTTTTTCTTTGATATAATTTTAAAACAGAAAAGTGATAGTGTAAAAAATTTTGCAGAGCCCAGAAAATGTGGAGAGAAAAAAACTATATCATCCTTTGTTCTAATACCCAGAGGCTTTTCACTGCTCTCAATATTTGAGTGTATTTCCTTCCAGTCTTTTGTCAATGTAGAAATCCAGTTTTGATGTGGCTTTTGGACTTGTTTTAGACTTGACAAGCATTTTCATAAATCATTGTCAGCTATAATTTCACTGAAATTGTTTGCCTGTAATTCTTCTACAGCTGGAAAACAAGGGCCTGCTATTAATTCAAGAGCCAGTGGCATCATCAGATGGATGAGGAGGAAGTCCTGTGATTCTAAGCCTTTCTCACCTTGGTATTTATAGTGTGACATGTCAAACTTAAAGCAAGTTAACGGTGATTTTTGTTTGTTTGTTTAGTTCCTTAGATTTCACATATAAGCAAAGTCACATTGCATCTGTCTTTCTTGGTCTGACATACTCCACTCAGCACAACACCCTCCAGGTCCATCCATGCCGCTGCAGATGACAAGAACCCATTCCCTTCCATGGCCGAGCAATATTCCATTGTATATATATACCACCTACTCTTTATCCATTCTTCCATTGGTGGACACCCAGGCTGCCTCCACATCTTGGCCATTATAAACAATGCTGCAATGAACATATGGATGCACATGTCCCCTCGAAGTAGCATTTTGGGTTTCTTTGGATAAATACCCAGAAGTGGGATTACTGGGTTGTTCTTTGTCTCTTCTTATAGCCTTTGTTTTAAAGTCTATTTTGTCTAGTATAAGTATTGCTACCCCAACTTTTTTTGTTTTTTCCATTTTCATGAAATATCTTTTTCTATCCCTTTACTTTCCATCTGTGTGTGTCTTTCAATCTGAAGTGAGTCTCTTGTAGGCAGCATATGTCAGGGCTTTGTTTTCATATCCATTGAGCCACCCTGTGTCTTTTGATTGGAATATTTAGTCCATTTACATTGAAAGTAATTGTTGATAGATATAGCTATTTCCATTTTATTATTCATAATTCTGATCTTTTTTTTTTTCCATCTTAAAAAAGTCCGTCTAAGATTCCTTGTAATACTGGTTTGGTGGTGATGGACTCCTTTAACTTCTTGTCTGGGAAGCTCTTTATCTGTCTTTCGATTCTAAATGAGAGCTTAGCTGGGTAGACTATCTTGGTTGTAGGTCTTCGTTTTTCATCACATTGAATATTTCCTGCCAACCCCTTCAGGCTTGCAAAGTTTCTGTTGAGAAATCAGCTGACAATCTTATGGAAACTCCCTTATAAGTTACTAGTTGCCTTTCTCGTGCTGCTTTTAGGATCCTCTTTTTGTCTTTAACTGTTGCCATTTTAATTACAATGTGTCTTGGTGTGGGCCTATTTGGGTTCATTTTGTTTGGGATTCTCTGTGCTTCCTGGGCTTGTATGACTATTTCCTTTACCAGGTTAGGAAAATTTTCAGTCATTATTTCTTCAAATAGCTTCTCAATCCCTTGCTTTCTCTCTTCTGCTTCTGGTGCCCCTATGATGCGAATATTGTTATGTTTGATGTTGTCCCAGAGGTCTCTTAAACTATCCTCATTTTTTTGGATTTTGTTTTCTTTTTGCTGTTCCAATTGGGTGTTTTTTGCTACCTTATCTTCCAAATTGCTGATTTGATCTTCTGCTTCACCTAGTCTGGTGATTCCTTCTAGTGCATTCTTCATTTCAGTTATTGTATTCTTCACTTCTGACTGGTTCTTTTTTTATGGTTTCTATGTCCTTTTTTATGCTTGCTATCTCTTTGTTGAAGTTCTCACTAAGTTCCTTGAGCATCCTTATAACCATTATTTTGAACTCTGTCTCTGGTAGGTTGCTTGCTTCATTTTGTTTAGTTCTTTTTCTGGATTTTTCTCCTGTTCTTTCATTTGGGATGCATTTCTTTGTTTCCTCATTTTGGATGCCTCCTTGTGTTTGTTTCTATGTATTAGGTAGATCTGATGTCTCTTCCAGTCTAGTGCAGGTGGCATTATGCACTAGGTGCCCTATGGGGCCCTGGCACAATCTCCCTTTTTAAAAAAGATTTAAAAAGATGTTTGGGTGTCTCACAGCCTTCCATCCCACCTGGTTGGTCAGTATCCCCAGTGTTTTTCACAGCCAGATGTTATGGGGCTCCCCTTCCCAGCATCAGTACTCTTATCTGGTGATCCTGGTGTGGGGGTCTGGGGACCCTTGCTCCTCTGTGGGTAACTTCCATGGCCGAGATATCCCTCCCAATTCTCAACTGCCACATGGAGGTTTGGGGCCCGTTCCGTGTTTCTGCCCTCCTACCAGTCTTGATGTGGATTCTTTGTATTTTTAGTTATAGGACTTCTGTTCAACTAGACTTCAGATGGCTCTCCAGGTTGTTAGTTATATAATTTAGTTGTCATTTTAATGTGTTCACAGAAGGATGCAGGTACAGTGTTTATCTACTCCGCCATCTTGGGTCTCCTCCCTTAACGGTGATTTATAAAATGCAATTAATTACCCCTGGGGTGATTAATGTCTCAGACTATGCTTTCCAGTTTTAAAAAATAGAAGGGAAAGAAATCTCTGTATTTGTGAATGTCCTATGCTACTGCAACTGAGAGCCATTCCCTCACCTGTACCACCATTTTCAGAAAGAGGTCTTGCTGGGCAGTAAACCACTATTTTGTTCTGTTACACACAGTGCTGTGTGGTGCCGACTGCCCCTCAATACTCCCAACAAGGCTGTAAGATCTATAGCACACCCAGGTTCCACAGTTGGCAGAACCTGTACGGAGATTTCCAGCCTCCACTGCTCAGTGCACTGACTGCTGTGCTAGCAGGAAATTAGCTTCAAGCCCAGTCTGGCCAAACAGCCTGCAATCTTTGACACAACAGGAATGCGCATGACACAAACACAGACAAAGAGGAAGGAAATTTACAGCCACATTACAGGCTGAGTGCAAAGCAATGGGAGAACTCTGCACATATCATTTATTTGTAGTTCACTAGGGCGAAGTGCGTGAGAAATTTGTGTGCTCCAGCCTAATTAATTAGACAAGCGAGTCCGTCTCTCTTGTGTACTCATTAAGGATTTATAAAATCAAAGCTGGAGTGGCCATCTTATATTTTTGTTCAGAAAAATAGAGAATGAGAACAAAGAAAGGAGACCCCGGGGCCTCAGGATTTTATGTTCATGGATTTGACAGTTCTGAGTCCACTGATGGTTCTTGAGTCAGGAACCCCTCATGTCACTGTCAAGAGCAACTTTGGCCGGTGTCAGGCTGCCCTCTGGGCTGGCGCTGGGCTTGTGAGTGAGCCTCGCTGGCCACCCGCATGTACGGAGCAGACGTGCCTTGGTTCTCACGCACTCCATGCCTCCAGTTAGCCCTCCCCATAGGAACTCTGGTGGGTAAAAAGCGTCATCTCCACTTTACAGATGTAGCAAGGGAGCTCGGTGGAAGTTGAGGTGATAATTATAAATTTCAGGGTTTCAAAAGGTCATGATGGGCTATCTCGCCAAAGAACAGAAAATGTGTAATAAGACACATTTGGGTCTTTCAATCCGCCCGTGGCCTTTCAGAAGGAAATGCTAAAGCTGTTCCTGACTCCTGTTTGTTTCTCTGAGACAGAGAAGACACCTCACGTTGTTTGTAAACTTTTCTTGAAAAAAAAAGATTCCCTTTACATATAATACATTCTCTCTCAAATATAAAGCACAGATAGCCCCACACTTTCAAAACTTCTTTTTCTCTCTGTTTAAACTGCAAAAAGTGAGTTTTCTGAATTAAGAAACACAGCTGTATTTGCTAAAAATGAAGAGTAGATGGGAAGAAACTTTGCTTTTCACGGGAGGAATAGGCCCTGTCCTGAGGGCAGGCAGCACTGTCATGTGGCCTGAGTGGCCTGTGTGGTGGTAGGAGTGGCCTGGAATGTTCCCTGCCCAAATCTGTCGAGGTCCAGCTCAGGCCCACCCCTTCCAGTTCTGCTCGGATCCCATAGCCCCTCCTCTACCCTCTCAGAGAGCTCCTCTCCCTTTCTACGGCTTGCACCACACCGTCCCACATTGGGTCCACCCCTACAGAAGCTGCCAAGATGCTTGTCTCGCACTGGTCACATGGAACAGACAGTCTCGGGGTATACTGCAGCGAGATTTGGGGTTCCTGGTGTGTGACTGCCATATCTGTACCTGACAGTGCCTACTGCGGTACTGGGCACACAGTATGTCTTCAATACTTTTCTAGATTAGTTCAATCTTTCATTCCTAAAACAAAAACTTACACACACACACACACACACACACACACACACACACACACCTTAGCTTCTTCACTTACCATCCTCCCTTTTGTGAAATAAGCTTTAAAGTCATCTCTCAGAACTTTATAATGGCCTCAATGGCTTTGTTCTTTTAAGCTATCATTTTGTCATGGCTGGACTGGTTAAGCACTGAAGTCAGCAGTAAAGGGCCCTTTATATAATGGAGATGAAGAGGAAGAAGTGAGGCATAGGAGACATTTACTGCATGGCAGGCCATGAGCTGGCCACTTTCACAAATACCGCCTCGCTCACTTCCCAGCAGATGCTGTGAGATGGGCATTATTATCCCATTTTACAGACAAGGAAACTGAGGCACAAAGAGTCTCAGTGACTTGGGTTGGGCCACGCAGATCTTAAAATTCAGTGACAGTCAAAGAGCTGGGGAACTACAGTGAGCGGCAGCCATCATGTAAGGACACTACAGTAGAGTCCCACTTACAAATATTCACCTGGATCATGAGATACTCTAATTGTGCCAGTGTGATCACTGCCCACCCTGCTACCCGCTGAAGGACCTATTTCTCATTTTCTTCTGCCTCAATGAATTCATAAAACATCATCATCTGCTATTTCAATCCAACAAATCCAAACTGTTCCTGTTCTGAAATGGGTAACTTATCCAACAGTCTTCCACCCTGAGAATGTTTTCAAGTCCAAGATTATAGCATGTCGGCCAACTAGAGATGTCTTTGTAACGTAATAAAACACACTCTTCACGGTTCAGCTTGTCTTTGTCCTAGTCATGTAGACACAGCAAGTCAAAACCTGCTTCTAATGATTACACCTACTCTGTACCGAACAACCGCAAAAAATAATTAGGGGTAAACACCTTCTCATATCAGATGCACGAGGTCTCCTACGCAGCTACCTTCAATGCTGTGACACATCTGCTGAGTATGGGTCCTAGATGAAAGGAATTGCCCTTGGGCGGCAGTGATGGCCGCACAGCCTCTTGCAGGATGCACAGCCTAATAGACTTGAACTTGCCACCGTTAAAACACAACTTCAAGGTAAATACCACTAAGACTTAGAAAGCATGGATACTGCTTCAGGTTTTCAATCCAGGTGGAAAGACAGCTTGTGAAAGCAGCAGCTAGACAAGAGATTAGCGGGGCGCCGGTCTCGCTCTGGGAGCTCACCTGTTGGGTTTGCAGGAATATCTAGGATGGTCTTCAACAGCTTCATGTCTTTAATGTTGTGGATGTAAATGGACTCCTCCAGGCACACCAGCAGCCTCTGGAATCACACACACTCATCAGTCCGCCAGGCCGGTTCCTCGAAAGGGACTGACCAAATCCAAATCACCCATCTTTCCTGTGAGTCTAACTTGATTCTAAGCCTAGAGGAGGAGGAATCTGGAAGACCATGGGGAGTGTATGTTTACGTCTGCACACAGGCCTGCGGGCACATATATGTCATCATCCACGTGAACAGACGCGGAAAATACAAGACCTCTAGAAACTTCATGTAGAAATCGAGGTCTTCTCTCCTTTTTTTGGTACTGTTCCCCTCTCCTGAAACAGGGATTTCTGAACACTTCCTGGTCAGACACCCTTTGCCATTTAAGACCATTTCGGGTAAGTTTTTGGGTTCCTTTTCCCATCAGATAGCCTCCCTCTCGATGTGCATAACAAAGCCTCCCTCTTGTACAGATGGTGGTTCCTTTGCCCCCCTTGTATCACCCAATCATCTGCTTCTCCAATGAATTGTCACCTTTAACTTCATTCCACTGAATTCCCCTGCAGACCCACCTTCACGCACTCTCTCCAGCCCTGGTAAAGGGAATGGAGAAGCCCTTTAGCCCTCATGTGACACCCTGTTTCAGTGCCCCGAGTCCCTTGCAGCCCTCCCCCACACACACCCCTTGGCTCCTCTCTTGGGGGGCCCTCTCCCCATTGTGGGGAAGCCCTGCTCTTGATCTTTAAATGAGACTTGTCAGGATGGGGCCTCTTCCCAACGGCTGAGCTCTCTACCACGTGGACACAGGCCACTCTGAGCAGCAGCTGCCTCCTACCCCTGCACACACCTGACTCAGCTCCCCCTGGGGCCAGTGGTTCTGATGAAGATGAGCATCGAGCACCCAAGGGGCAAGGCCTGGGCTCTCCCTGGAGATTCCGGTCCGGGAGGTCATTCAACAAGTACCCGAGATGACTCTGACGCACACCTAAGTTTGAGACCACTGCTCCCGGGCTAGATCCTTTTACCCCATGGAAAAACACTTGGGAAAAAAGGTACCTAAAAATATCAACAAATAAGTGGCAGGCTCTCCTCTTGGGAAAAGCCCACCTGACTGTTTTCCCAGTAAGACTCCTCACGGCTCAGAAAAATGGAGACTGACACTTTAACCAAGCAGAAAAATAAAATGTAAATACAGTAAAACCTTGGATTGTACTTGCTTTGCGAGTGTTCCGCAAGATGAGCAAACATTTCTAATACATTTTAATTGGGTTAACGAGCGATGTCTTGCAATATGAGTAGTTTGTTTCTGGAACGAATTATGCTCGCAAACCAAGGTATTACTGTATCTTTCTCAATGGTAATTAAGGCTCCGTGGTGTTGAGGGGGGACAACATTCTAACAGGGTCTCAAAATTAATGACTAATATTAGTGCTTTTCCATGAAAAGTGCATTTTCTGATTTGCCTGATCCGTTGGCCTTTTGTCAGCACTTACAATGGTTTGGACTGTATTACTCTGTGTTTGCTGATGCTCTTAGCTGTGTGAGAGCTTCCAGCCCCATGGCTGAGCCCCAGCACAGGGGGTCCCAGCACATGCCTCTTGCAGAAATAGCATCTACATCTAGCTTGTCTGACCTCATCTGCATCTTCTCCCACCAGCTCTAAAAGCATCATCTCTGTGGTCCACGTGGCCGAATTTCAGGTCACCCCCCGTGTTGGCTGCAGACAAGAATTAAATGGAAGGAAAACAGAAACCATCCAGAGGGAAAGAGGAGGTCCTCCGTCTTCAGTTCACGTGACAGCGCGCTTCTAAGATAAGCATGACCCTGGTAACTTGCTTCCTTACAATGGCTTTTCAGTCTTGGCAGAACCCTGGGCTGGCCTTCGGCTCAGCTCCTTCCCTGTCACTTTGGCTCTCGTCAACTGTTATAGGTCTTAGAAGTAATAACTCCTTTTATCAATTAAACAAATACAGCATCTGCCCTCGAGCACCACAGATTCAGATTTAGCGTCAGAGGCGGGGTCTAGATGCTACATCTGTTCTGAGGGGCCCTTGTCATCCCGATGGAGGTTGAGAACAGAAAGAACTGTAGAAGTTCATGAATCGAAAACGCATTTGGTTTACTGACTTTATCCCATTAAATACATTTTCTCGATTAAGTACAAGGGCAACAATATCAACTAAAAATGAAGAATATCACAATTACTATTCTACCCTTTTGTATATTGACAGGAAAATAGGGATGTTCTTTCCTCATAACTCCCTGTGCGAATCTTTAATTTTCCCCCCTGTTTTTTAAAAAGGAACTGTGCCTGGACACCCGGTGCAGTAGGAACAGGGTGAGCTTCTCATTGCCTTTAGGGGGTGCAGATGCCGGGGAACCACAGGACCCCCACCTTGCAGGGACGGGCTGCAGCAGTTGCCTAAGCCAAAAGTTGGTAAGGCCCAAATTGGAACATTTTAAGAAAAGCAAACCCCAAACACTTTCAAGACCTTGTCAAATCATCTTTAAAGAGACCTGTGTGATCTGGGTTCAGAATAGCTTGGCCATTAGTAGCTGAGTAGTTCTAGGTGCATTAATGTCCTTTGGATCATGGGGGAGGACAACCTTCAAGTTAATGAGTGTTATATCGAGGGGGGTGGCATCTAAACGTTAACAGACTGAGGCACTTGAATAATCCTTCCTGTCCCACTGAAAATATCAGACAGCAAGTAAGAGACACGTTATACAAATAAATACCATAGATATTATTTTGAGGGTTCCAATCTTCACGGGACATTTGTTTGCCTAAACAATCTTAAAAAGACAATCAGGTGCCAAAAAAAAGGATATTTAATTTTCATATACTGGCTTCTATATGCAAAGATAAAAAGTCCTGCAGTGAAATTTAACATGCTTCCAACATTTTTCATAGAGAGCACTCGAGCTGAGAATTGTGCTTGAAAGCCTTCAAGCTGAAAACTCTCAAACAGCCTTCCCCTCCCTTGCCAAGAACCTGGGTTTATCTTCTTCTTTACTCTTGCTCCTCTTTGCTTAAAAATCACCACATTCTGTTTTTCAGGCTATTCTCTACCACACTGCTTTACACAGGCTTAAGTGCATAGTCAATCAAAATAGTTGAATAACTCAAAGAAACAATCGCTTTCTTCCCATAAACTTCAGAAAGCACTGTATTCGTCTCATTTGTCTTTAAAAAAATGAAGTAGCACTCAATAGTTTAGGTACAAAGACAGAAGAAAACATTGTCCTCCAAGACTGCAATAACCACCATCCTGGGAATATTTACTTGAGAAGGCAGAGGTGCCCGGTCACATAGACAATCTATGTGTTTATTTGCTAAGGCAGTCAAGAAACAGACATTCATGGAGCATGTTTCTACCAGGCCTTCTTATAGTGAACAAAATGGATACAGTTCCTGCCCTCACAGGATTTAAAACATCGAATAATTCAAGGGAAACTCTGCTAATATCTCAAACACTTATTTAACAAGAACTGATATTTTTCAAGAGAGTGGGTTGCATAGTTGAGATAAGGATAATCCTTCCTTGAACAAAGAAAACACTACAAGAAAAATCTTCAAGGGCTAGCTGGGCGAAAGAAAAGTGGAAGCATGGGACTGAGTACCTGGCCTGCTGGGGAAGCAGGAGAAGGGGCTGTTTTACGGACTGGCTTCAGAACGAACCTGGGAGGAGCACGCTATCCTCAAGAGCTTTCATTCTGAGAGGCGTTATCGCCAGTCTGATGAATGCCATCACTTAGGACCCAAACCAGAGAGGCGTTCCTGTGGTTTAAGGCGCCCCTGCAGTAGCTCAGGGAACAGCTTCAGAGCCAGAGTTCTACCCCACCTGTACCCTGGACAGGGTGCACCTAGCCGATGGCCAACATTTGAAAGAACATGAGGCAGAAGGACCGGGAGGATCTGCCACTGAAAGAAGAACATGAAGTAGATTCTGTTTACAGCAGCCCCATAATACTAGGCCTAAGGATGAAAATCTCCCTTAGGATTTGATGCTTGTCTTAGACACATTCATCTTGAAAAGGTATCCATCTTTTTCTTCGGTTCCCATCAGCAGGAGCCTTGCAACCCTGGAGGGATCTCCCCCACTTACCTGCCGGTTCAGCCTTATGGACAAGATGTTGCTGGAGTAGCTGTAATTACAGATCTCCGTGCCTTTCTTGAAGTGATAGACGTTCATTTGCCGTGGCTTCGTGTGACTGACCACCACCACCAGGCTGCTGGAGAAGAGGCGCTCGACGATGTAGACATCCGGGATTTCATCTGGGAGGGAAGGCAGCCCGAGGGCACAGGGATGTCAGCCACGCCCTGACCTGAGCACAGCTTATGCCTGTTAGCCATGTTCTCTGAGGTCCTGCTGGCTGAGGGCAATGATTATTTCCCCCCACAGTCAAGTTTTCACAGTTCCCAAGTGTTAACAGTTTCAAAGCCCTTTCAAGTAAAGAAAATGCTAGTGACTAGAGCACAACATTGGGATTTCCAGAGCTTCCCCTCATGCCATCAGTGTGGTAGAATTACCTGCAGAGCTCTAGGGTGCCACTGTTTGCCCTTTAAAACGTATTGGGGAGGTTTGGACAGTTTTGATCTACCTTTTCACCATCAGAGGTTTCAAAGGAGTGACTACTCTTGTCGTCGGGAGCCGCTGCTTTCAGAGTGCTTCTCGTCCCTGCTGCTCTGAGGGGTACCACCATTGGGGGTATGGACATAGTTAAATCTGAGCCCGCTTCCCATTTTGTGTCTCCCTGACCCTCTCTGGAGTCCCTATCCTGTTGAAAACAATCTGGACATCCGGGTCATGACCAGGGAAGTACTCTGGCCCTCAGAAAGAAGGTCAATTGTTAAGCCTGCTGAGCACCCATGGGTGGAGTCTTGCTGTCTTTCTGAGAACATTCTTTTCATATGTGTGCCTTTCTAGTGCTTGGGCAAGTCCCTTAGGGAACAACAAAGGACAGATTCAGAGCAAAATATCCATGAAAATGGCATAATTAAAATAATATCTTACAAATAAATTAGGAGCCCAATATATTATTTACCAAACCACTTTCTTTCCAGGAAATCCTAAGATTATATATTCTTGACTATTATGATGGTGCAAACTGTTAACTTACCCTGGGAAAATGAGAGTCACATTTCTAAGCTGAATTATTTTTAGTGTTCACTAGAAGCACTCCAACATCTTTGATATGGACCATGTCAGTGCGATAGTAGTGCTTTATTAAAACAAAGAAAATGCGGGCCGGCCGAGTGGCTCAGTTGGTTAAGAGCTCGCTCAAGAGTTTGAGCTCTGAGCAACAGCGGTTCGATGCCAGCCCGAGCTGAGCAGCCGCTAAGCTACCAATAGGTAGCAGGATGGCTCAGCTAAAAAAATAAATAAAACAAAGAAAATGCTTCCATGACTGAATGTGTATTACCGATATTCTACAGTGCCAATATAATGTCAAAGAAAAAAAAATTCCTAAGTGATCTTTTGGTATGACAACTATAAAAATTGGTGACTGTGCATACACGTATACGAAGGTGTCAACAATATGGTTTCAAACAAAGGATTTCTTAATATGAAAAGAAAATGTTACGAAGCTACTGCTACGTCTCACGAAGTGCTCCATTATGGTTTTTTAAAGCAAGTGGAGGCAATGACTTCTGTTTAAATCTGAAAAATACTGACTCACGTTTGATGGCTGAGGGAGGGAAATGCAGAAAGCCCAGAAGCACCAGCGATGAAAGTCTAGAGGAAGACTTTGGTGTCCCTGAGATCTCGCTCCCACACACACTTACCACTTCCGTGGACTTGGTCCAGTTGCTCCACAGAACTCAAAGAAAACAGCTTGTAGCCGGTTTTGGTTCCAATTGCTAGGGATCTGTGGAAGATAATGACAGCCTGGGAATGACAACAGGTACTGTATTCCAACCACAGATCTGCCTGACGATAGACCCCCCACCCCTTTTCCCTTTAACCAGATAAACATACATCTTCAGGTGCTTCGCTATTATAAAACTGTCTAACTGGGGAGGTGGGCAGGTACGGTAAAAGGGACAAGGTCAAAGACAACTACACACAACAATGTAAAATGGTTAAGAGACCTGAAACGTCATGGGCTTTATCATCAAATGAAATGTCAAAACTACTAGAGACCGTCCATGCTTTCCTAAATGGGCAGAAACGGGGAAAATGGAATGTTTGAGAATATTCATCATAGCGCTACCCCTAACACAATTAGGGGCCTCCTGGTTGTTTGAGAGGGACTTTACCAAAACGTGAATCATTTTTTATTTCCTTGATGACTTTTTTTTTTTTGCTTAAAAAGGAAATATATGTTCATAGTAGGCAAAATTTAATAGATGCTTTCCTTTCATCACTTTCCATGAAAACATCCTGGACCCTCTATACCAGTAGCTCTCATCCCTGGATGGACATTAAACTCACTTGGAAGTTGACAAAAAATAAAAATAGTGATGACTGCCTTGCTCCCCCACCCTTAAGCTTTTTATTTAATTGGATTTTTGTTTTGTTTTGAGTTCAAGTATACTAAAGCACAGCCAGGGTTGAGAACTCTGTGTTATACTGTGTTCCACAAAGCTAGCATCACAGCCAACAAATAAAACAAACACTGAGCGCTTATCTGGGACAGCTAAGCTAAAAAAAATCTTGTGTAATTAATTTTTCACTTTTCAACCCATAGGTAAAGATAGAGTGTGAACCCAGGTTTCCTTGGCCTCAAGGTGAAAGCAAATGCATCAATTTCATTGAGCAGCTGGGAACCCCCATCTAGTTCTCTCCTGCTTTGCCCTCCAGACCTGAGTGATGGACAGACTCTGACACGGAGCAACATGCAGAGTCAGCAGTCTGACCCTGAGTACTTCCACCATGGGATGTCCGAGCTGAAAGGGACCTTAAAATGGTCCCAGGTGGACCTAAAAATCAGTCCAACTTCCTCATTGAAAACAAATACATGAAAGGTGAGATTCGCTCTTCACAGGGAAGCATACACTAAAATAAGCAGCTTACTGCTATGGCCCCGGCTCTTGTCTCAGTAGCCTAAAGGAAAAAAAAAAAAGGTCACATGATTTTTCCCTAGAATACTTTTTTTTTCTACCCAACGTTTGTTCTTCCATGGGACACAGGTGACTACAGTCAACTTTTAATCAGCGCGGTGGCTGCTTCCGTTCCCTAGCCCTCCAATTTGCCCAGTGGTTTAACTAGCGCATCAGATATTTGCATGAGAGCAGCAGTGGGTTTGGCATCCAGAGCTACGATCTTAATGATGACAAACAGCAACTGGAAAGGCAAGACAGCAGCATCTTAAAACTCCAAAATATGCTCTGTACTGTTTACTGCTTTTAAACTTTTTCCACATAAATGTCGACACATTTAGCAGTAAACCGAGGTTTCTACAGCTTGCACGTAAGGGGGGGGGGGAATGGGGTAACTAGGGTCTTATTAACTAAAAGATCTGGCAATTTAAAATAATTTTCAAACATAAGCCCTGCTCCTGGAACAGAAGAATTTTATACGTGAGAAAATGGCAGTGTGATCACTATTATGCTTTAAATGATTGATCAATGGCTATAAAAGCCTCTGAAACAAGGAATTCAGACTAAAACCTTATTTTCTCCATAAAGCCTTCTATAGTAAAAAAAAAACAAAAACAATTCTCATCACCTCTCATGGGAACAGGGCTTGGGACAAACATGTATCACCAATCAAATGAAAAAATGTATCCAAAGTGTCTAGCACACAGCCAAGCATGAACTGTGAAGTCAAGGAGCCTGGTAAAGGTTAGTTGTCTTCACCGACCTTCTCCCGAAATACTGGGTCTCACATTCAAACTATACTTAATAGAGAAAGACACCCTGATCTTCCTGAATGTATTCGGTAAGGGGCTTGACTTATTTTAAAACCCAATGTCATACCCTCTGTGGCTCAAAACAACTGACTGTGACAAAAACTTTTATTTATAGGTAAGACAGAGCTGCCCAGCGGAGCCTTCATCCAAGAAAACAGAACTGACAGTAAGGACTAAGGAAATTAACTTTCCACGCACCCTACAGTTTTGAAAAGAACATTCTTATCCAATTGCTATGAAAGCCAAGACTTGACTATGAAGATTAACATCACTTTAAAGTAATCTAATAAACAATGCTACAATGCAGAATTCAGAACATTTACTACTAATAAGCAAACTAACTCCCCTCCTTAACCTGTGTTCAATTGGGAAGAGAAACACCCATGCATTTCAACAGCCATCCCCTGTTGCAACATGTTTCTTACAAAACATCAGAATTTTATCTAGACTATCATTTTTGTAAACTGTGGGTCTGAAACATGAGTAAATCTTAAAACAATTCAGTGAGTCACAAATGGCTCAAAAAAAAGAAAGAAACAGAAAATACCAGAGGGCATCACACATAATAAGGTTAAGCACCATTGTGTGAATCACTTTTTAGTGATATATGTATATGGGTGTTGAGTGATGCTGTAACATGTATTTCTTATTGTGGGTTGTGGTCAAGCAAAACTTGAAAGTCATGTATCTAACCAAGCTGTCCAGAACCAGGTTACCCGATTACACATACATTTTTTGTTTTTTGTTTTTTGTTTTTTAACAAAGACATACTGTTTGGTATTGGGTGTTTTTAAATGGAAACACAAAGGGAATGGAAACCAGAGTTGCTTATGGTATGAGATGGCCTTAATCACACTACTGAATGTTCAATATTAGCATAGGCCAATCACAGGCAGCCAAAGCACAAGCCCGAAGCTGACTCCAAACAAGGAACACAACAGAAACTGGTACAGCAGGAAGTGGGAACCTGGGAAGAGGTCATCCCTGCCTGATGCACTGGGCGCACATTCCAAAGAGATTGTTTTATATGGTCCCCAGGGCTGGCTTCTAACAATTCCATGAAAAAAGAGGGAAGGAAAAAGGTGTTTGCCTCTAAGGGACCGAGTCCTCCAGATGTCTGTTAAGTCCCAGCTCTTTGGCCAAAGTCCAAATGTGAAGATCAAGATGAAACATTAAACAGCCACTCAAAAAGCAACAGGGTGGAGCTCATGCTCCTCGCAGGAGGCAGCCTGGGGTCGGGAAAGGTTCTCGTGGACTGGGAGAAGGCTGTTGGGCCGCTGAGTGGCTATGTGGAAACAGTGAGAGGAACGGAAAGGTTTCTGACATCGTGAGCAGGCAGGCCAGATGCCCTGCGCTGGGGCTGGGACAGGGGCTGGCCTGGCCGCAGGGATAGGCTGCCTCTTTGTCCGAGGCCCTGCCCAGATGCCACGTTGAGATGCTCAAGGACAAATGGGAAAGTTTTTCCTGTACTTCCATCTTCCTGGGCCCTAACTACAACGTTTTGGGTCAACTTGCAACCTGCCCCTCCCCTCCCATCTCTTTTGTTTTGGCCTCTGCCCCTCCTAACCCAGACCTCCACTTTGGTCACTATCCCCCGTCCCCATTCCTCAGCTTTCTTGAGTCCCACTCCGCTTGGTGACTCTCTCCCTTCGCCGTCGGCCAGCCTCTCCTGGCTCTCCGCCCGCAGCGCGGGTTGGGGGCGCCCAAACCCCCTGCTGGTAGAGGAGGACGGAGGAGGAGGTAGCTACCAAGACCATTCCGAGGCAACCGCCGGCTGTCCCGCCGAGGCCCCCTTGGGGTGTAGGCCCGCGCCTCTTTTGCTACAAGTTGCCGACAGGACAACACCCCTGGTCGCGACTTTCTGTCCCCCACCTCCCGGCAAGGCAGGCGCCGCGGCTTACGTGCAGTCCTGGTTGAAGGAGAAGCAGCTGAGCGCCGCCTCGGCCCCGCCCGGGGGGCCGTCCGCGGCCTCGGCTTCCATCGGGGGCTCGACCCGGGGAAGCCGCAGCTCGGAGCCGGCGACAGCCACCTCAGCAGCCCGCTGGCACCGGCTCTGCGGGCCGGGTCGCCAGCCCCCCTCCGCTTTAGCCCCACCCCGTCTCCGCTTCGCTCCGCCCCTCCGTGCCTCGCCCCACCCCTCCTGCCAGTCCCGCGGAACGGAGCAACTGAGAGGGCGGGGTCCCCACTTCCGGCCACCATTGGCCATGAGCCCAGGCTGCGGCTCATCCTTGGCCAATTGGCGATGGCTGTGGGCGGAACCGTCCTGCGACGACCCGCCCCCAACTCGTGACGCGGCTCGCCATTGGGCGAAGGCGCGTGACGAAGAGGCTGCGAGCCACGTGGTGGTGTTTTCTTTGCCAGAGCCGCTGGCTGGCCGGGAGAAAGGAAGAACGATTGCAGCTGGGGCTGGACCTGCTGGCTCTTGTCCGGCATCCGCGTCGCGGCGGCCGCAAAGGGGACAGCTGGTTCCTACCCCACCCAGTCCCTGGTCATGTGTAACTCTTCGTCTCTTAAACTTACAGAGTTTAGTGGACAGCGTTAGACGCCAAAGCCCCACCCTTTTGTGGTCTTCAAACTGCTTTGAGAAACGTTTCCAAAACGAGGGTGCTAAGTAAGGCCATACAGGTAAGTTATTTGACCCATTGCACTGCAGTTGAGAATTACCACATGCCAAGTACTGTATTAACTATGTATATATCTCGCTGAATTCTTATAAAACTTTGTGAGGAAAAGTATAATTATATCCAATTTAAAGAAGTGGCACTGAAGCACGGAACTGCTAAACAATCTGTCCAAAGTAACACAAACGGTAGGATGTGGGCTTGCCTAATTTCAAGATCCATGAATGAAACGACTCTGCCAGACAGTATTTGAAACACCTGTCTGATCTGTAGCTGAAAAAAAATGGTGTAGTTCATGAAAGGAATCAATTCAAAACTCACATAATTCGAGTTGACAAAGGGTCTCTCTTCCCAAGCTAAATATGTGTTCCCATGCAGAATTACCAGCACAGTTTATGAATCATTAACTATGCTAGTTCTGTATTTATTTAATTCCTGATGAATTTTTAATTTATGCTTTTAAACTTTTGAGATGAATGGTATTTTAATTATTGTTATATTACAGCACTTCAAATTGGCATAGTTTAAATTTACCTATTTTGTAACAAAGCTATGTACATATGATATATATCAAGGGTGCCCAAAAAAGGTATACACATTTTAATAGGTGTTATCTATGTTCAAGCAGTAGTTTGCCATAATCAGAAGTGTCTGGACACTGCTGGTACCTCTTGTAATTGCAGAAGTCAAATGTGACTTGTATTCATCTTTTGTTATCGGTATATATTGAGTATTACAATTTTAATACAGCTTTTTCCTTTCTTAAAATATGTATACTTTTTTGGCACCCTCTGTCTATATACATATAAAACTTGGACTTAGAATGGATACGAGAAGAACACTATTTCACTTAAGCTTTTCTGGTTGGATTTCTGGTTTTGGTTTTCTAAAATGCAAATATAACAGTTTCTTTTCTCAACACTATCATTCTTTCTCTCAACTGATGTAAGAATAGTTCATCTCATAGATCCACAGATGTTGATTGCTCTTTAATCGATTATGAGGTGTTGTATAAACCATCATAAATGCAAAGAACTTCTGTTTGGATGTTTTAACTGCATCTTCTTTGTAACTTCTCAGATCAAAGGTGCTTCCCTTGCCCACTTCCAGCTCAGGCAAATGCTTCAGTCCTTTCTATTCTATTTAGAAAACCAAGAGTCTGTCATGCTGGGTGCTAGGTTGCTGGGAGAATTACATAAAGTACCCAAGAGGTTTTTTAAAGTGGAAACTGTTATTAACAAGAGTTTGGACTTTATGGGGTAGAGTGGAGAGCTGGTGTTACTTTTTGAGCAGGACTGTTTCATGATAAAAGCAGTGTTTCAGGCAGATAAACGCAGCCAGGGTGTGCAGAGCAGATTAGAGGCGAGGAAAAGCCTAGACTAATGTGAAATTCTAGGAGTGAGGGGATATAAGAGACCAAGCTATTGGATGGCAGCAAGGCCAGATAGGTTAGGACAAACTCAAGAGATTTTCTTAAACTGAAATAGATTTGCAATTTGGCATTGTGTAAATTTAAAGTGTACAACATGTTGATTTGAAACATTTATATATTGTAATATAATTGCCATGGTAGTGATAATTAGCTCCTCTACCGCATAACACCAAGAGATATTTTGAGGCAGTGCTGTTTAATAGAAAGATAATGTGAGCCACTGATATGAACCCTGTGGGCAATTTAAAATTTTCTAGAAGCCATGTTTAAAAGGGTAAAAAGAAATGGACAAGTTAATTTTAATATTTTAAAATTAAAGCCAACATGGCAAAATGTCATTTTAATAGGTAAAATTTAATAGGTAAAATCAATGTAAAATTATTATTATTATTATTATTATTATTATTATTATTTTATTGGGAAATTGGGGAAGGGAATCATTGTTTTTCCAGGACCCATCAGCTCCAAGTCAAGTTGTTGTCCTTCAATCTTAGTTGTGGAGGGCACAAGCTCAGCTTTAAGCCCAGTCGCTGCTTTCAATCTAGTTGCGGGAGAGGGTGGGTCGCAGCCCACCATCCCATGCAGGAGTCGAACCGGCAACTTTATTCCTCAGAGCTCGCGCTCTAACCAGCTGAACCACCCGGCCTGCCCTCAATGTAAAATTACTAATCAGCAAGTTTGTTATTATTTTGTGCATAAGTATTTAAAGTCCAGTGTGTCTCCTACTCACAGCATATCTCAATTCACACCAGTCCTATTATAAGTGCTCATGTGGCTGGTTGCTATCTTAGTGCTCAGTGGCGTTTTGAGAGCATAAACCACAGGGGATTGTTTAGAAAGATGTGTTTAGCTTCAGCCACGTTGAGGTAGCAGAACTGAATGCTCATTGGAATTAAGGTTCAGGCCTAGAGATGCAGATACTGAAGAACACCGGTCATCTTCCCAGTCCCTCCCTTCCTGTGAATGATCCTCCTTGTATGTTTCCTCCTGGGTTCATGGTCTACTATCCACCACCACCCATGTGGAAATAACATCTCAGGGCTGCGTCACTTGGTTTTATTCTTTTTCCCAAGGCAATACAGAAATATGTATTTTTATATAAATTTATATGTCTATACATCTATATTTTATATAAACCTATATTTTTATGTAAAAATTTAAAACATTGGTGACTAATTCTTATTTTAAGAAAACACCATGTAGGCCAAACTAAGCACATCAGCTGGCCGGATTTGGTTTGTGGAGGGCCAGTTTATACCTATTTGAAAGGCTCCACCCTAAAAAAAAAAAAAAATCCCAGATGTCCATTCATATAAAAAGCCAAAGAAAAGGCTATAAATAAATTCAGAGGTGCTGAATTCATTTAATGCCAGGCGGTATTTTTCTTTTTTAAGTCCTAGCTCTAGTTCTAGGTTCTGTGGGAGTGAGTAGAAACCTAATTTGAATGTTGGGCTCATGACACCCTAATCTTTCCACATTCTTGGAACAGACATTTCACTGCCAAATAACGAAGCAAAAGATATTGGGGAGGGGGGAGACAAACACTTGACCACAATGGGAACAAGATTTTGACTTTTTCTTCTTCTTCCAATTGAAATTCCTAAGCACCTTATCTTTTTCCCAGACAAAATGTTTATTATTTCTAGGGCAACAGTCAGTCAGCAAAATCTTGGGAGAATAAAGCTGGGCTCTGGAACTCAAACATCCTTGGCCATACAAAATTGCAGGCCACAGTTCAGCTAATGGGGAGACTTCCGATTTGTGTGACAATCAGGCTGTAATTTAAAAATGTTGATTAAGGCACGCACAGGACATTAACAGGGGAAGTTGGAAATGAGACATCCTGTCTGATGCAACTGTCCTGTCACCCAATATGGTTGCCCATAATGTCCGACTGTCTATAATTAGAGTAACTACTAGGTGAGCAAATGCCACTCCCGTCCCTGTCTCCTTTTTATAAAATCGGTTCTATTTTTATAAAATCAGGTCACAGGAAAAAAAAAAATCTCCATTTTCTTTCCTGCTGTGTTTCAACCACTCAGAACCTGGGCTGAGAAAGAGTCGCACCATCATGGACAAGTGTGTGGTCGCACTTTGTGAAGAGAGTATGGGAGGGAGGGCCTGGGGACAATATAGACTAGGTAAGCCGTGGGAGTTGGGGAGAGGAAAGGTGATGTGTCTCCACAAGAAGGAAGCTCAAGGGGCCAGCCCCACAGTTCTAGAGTAAAATGGGAGGAGTTGGACGGTGGGGCGCTTCCTGGGAAAGGGGGTGATCCCCAGGGAGTGGCAAACAGGAAGTCCCACTAGAGGTGTGGCTGAGCAGGCAGGCACATTTGAACTTTTTTTGTGTCTAAGCATAGGTATAGTCTGTGGGAGAGCATGTCCGCAGTAAAGGAACAGTCCCGATTATGTGCCTTTCATCCCCAAATGGAACCATTATTTCCGGTTTCATTGATTTAAAAGGGAGAGAGGGCAGAGAGCAAAAACCAACCACCATTCCGGTATTCCGTGGCTTGTCCACTTCCTCTCAAAGGTCACAAACTATTTCACTGAAGCATGAGCTGGTGTCTTTGTCTTCCTTCTCTCTCTTATTTTTGCTTCTGGAATAATTCCTAAAACCTCAAGGCAAATCACAAGTTCTCCATTAACACTTGCTGGTTGGCCGATATCCATGAAACAATAGCTTTCGATGTGTGCATTTGCAGACATACCCTGAGCTAAGGGTCTGTTATTTAAGACAATGTAGAGAGAGGTTCAGTCATGGAGTTTTTGTTCTCTGGGACATCTTAAGACCAGCTGAGATTACAGAGAGGGGTTCAGCAGGTCAGCCAATCAGCCTGACTTCAGTTTTAGAGTAAAACTACAGGTGAGATCTGAAAACGCAAAACAATGTTTTACAGAAAGCGTGGCCTGAAGCCTCAATCTCTGTCCTGTTTGGCAGATTTTTATCCCCATCACGCAGCTGCATAAACCAAATCTGAGAGATGTTGGGTAAGTGGCTGATGGTCGTAGGGCAGTTTGTGATGGAGAGATGTACAA